TTGATTAAAATCATGCATCGCGCTAAAACATTTAGTTACGAAGTTTAAATGTTTCAAATATTCAACTTACAATTTAATAGTTAATCAAATCCCAAATCATAAAAGCATAAATAGGTTATATGTAATTTAAATCATATAACACTATTCTCGAGGCTTTAGTACAAGTTCGGGACCCTAATAAATTAATTCGGGGCTATTTGGAACACTTTTGGGGCAAATTGGGTGTACAGTGCTTAAGCACACCTTTACTGTGCTCGAGCACTATCCAACAGTGCTCGAGCACTGTTTTTAGAATTCGACAGCGCTCGAGCACTGGTTCGCAGAACCAGCTCGAGAAGTCCATTTTAAGGCTAAAATTCCATCGATACGGGTCCTAAAGTATGCATCTATGTCCTAATTGATTACCAATATTATTATGGAGTAATTATACAAGATCCAAACACTTAAATTCAAGTTTTCATGCACCAATTAACAAGACCCAGTTCCATAACCATATACACATATGAACACATAAACAGATTGATTTTGATTCGATTTCAGCATAGAAACTTATTTAATTCATTTGTTTAAATCCCTTAAAGTCAATTTAATGATGTAAAGAATAAAGATTCAAAGGGGAAGAGTAGAATATAGAACTTGTCTTGTGATTTTTGGATTGAAAACCAAACCCCAAGTTCTCTATAATAGATCCGGTCTTCTTCTCCAACTTGTCACCTTCATTGTCCTTCTCCGGCCACCTTCTTCCTCCTCTTCTCTCTCTATGATCTAGATCTCTGTCTCTCTTTGTAATTCACGTATATACAAAAACTCTCTTCTTCTATCTAACACACACACACACACACACACAATAACCCACAAATCCTAATCTAAGTCTAACTAAAATAAAAATCTTAATAATAATAGCAATAATAATAATGATAATAATAATAAATCCCTAAACGTTTTATTTTACCAAATCAATATCCACTTAATATATACATATATATATTTATATATACCTTCCCATGGGCCATAACTATATATAACCTATCTAGGCCTTCTCCGCCTAGTCCAAACTTATTCCTTTCGGTCAAACAACTTCAAGCCCAAACCATGATTAATTAAAATAAAATAAACCAATTAATTAAACGAGTAAATTGCACATAAAAAATAGTGACAAGTAATGCACATTAAATAATTTAGAATAACCTAATTAACAAAATTAATCTAATAGCTACTTAATCATTTAATAAGAATAATTAGGCAAATAAAATAATTAAAATGCTATTAAAATAATAAATTAAATGCTCTAAAAATTAGTGGTATTACACCGTTCTTCTTCTATACCACCACGACGTTTGATAACCATTGAGGGTAATGCACTTCTCCGATGAACCTTGCCTTGAGCAGGAGATTAACCTCTTCAGCTATTATTTGGTTCCGTTCTAAGGCGATTCTTCTTTGTTTCTGCCGAACGGGTCGAAAGTTTGGGTCGACATTTAACTTATTACAAGCAACCTCTGGGCTCAACCCTGGCATATCTAGGTGACTCTGGGCGAAAATGTACAAGTTCTCATTCAGCAGGTGGTTCAACTCCTCCTTCTCTTTCTCGGACTGTAATGACCTGATCTTTGTCGTTTTCTCCTGGTTGTGTAATACCCCTATAATTTAAAGGTTTATTTTATTTAAGTTAATTGTTTGTTTATTTGATGTAATTGGTTATTTATTTAAATTATGCATTAATTAGTTAATTAGCTTGCTTTAAATTATATAATGTGCATTCATTGTATTTTAATTATGTGATGTGGTTTATTTGCCATTATTTGTTTAAATGTGTACTTAATAGAGTTAATTGTATTTTAATTGTGTGATATGGTTTATTTGCCATTATTTGTTTAATTGTGTACTTAATAGAGTCTACCCATATGTTCATGCTAGTAATATGCTCATTATTTATTTTGTGATTTTTAAGCGTAGTACTAAAAAAAAAAATTTCAATCTCTAGTTCTATCGTTAATTAATTGACTATGTACTTTTTAGAAAACATATTCAACAATATAAATCAAAATGATGACAACTCACAAACAAAATAAATAATTTTATGATAACAAAATTTAATAAAACTATAAACTAATTGAAGTTATAGAATAATAGAAACGAAGAATTTGGTCCAATACTCCAAAAAATTCTTTAATAGAATAAAAGTTCATTCAAAGTCTTGTGACAGAGTGATGTTGAAAATTGTAGGAGTGGAGAAAATGAAAATAAATAAATAAATAAATTATAATGAGAGGAGAAAAAATGCGTGAGGAATAAGAAGAAGAAAAAAGAGAAAAAAAAAAGTTAATAGGTGTCTTGAAAAAATATAGAAAGTTTCACAAGTCTCACCACAATGGATAATATTTATGGTTGGTGTAATGATAATGAGGAGTAATATAAATATAGAAATATTTTGGGCCTAATAAGGTTGAGAGAGAGAGGGAGAGAAAAAAAGTTATACGGAAATATTTTGGGCCTAATATTAAAATTTTCTATTGATTGAAGTTTAATAATAGAAGAAAATAAAATTTTTAGGTAACTTATAATATATTATAAGGAAAAAATTTTTGGGGCCCTGAAAAAAGAAAGAAGAAAGTGATAAACAATAGAAATCTTTTATGTCAAATCCCTCTATTTTTCGATATTTAATAATTAACATAATTATTTTAAGAGTTATAATATATACAGAAATGAAAAATTATGAGGCCTTTTTATTGGTTGGGGCCTTATCCCTATTGATCATATATTCTCAATATTAATCTGAATAAAAGTGATTATATCAATCACATATATGCTTATTGATAGGCATTCAAAATTTCTTAACAACTAAGGAACTTAGCAACTATTTACCCCACAATATATCTCTGTCAAACTACAAAAATATGTCTCTGAAAACATTATGCTGCAACCATTGCATCCTTAACTAATTGTAGTTACCGCCTAGTCTAGTGTAGGTTAATAAACCAGTCTATACTCTGCATTATACGTGACACACATGGTGGACTAGGCTGATTTACCCACCTAACCTAGGCACATCATACCAACTATAAGTTTCCCAGTCCGGGTATCCCCTTGTTTTCCAGTTGCCGATGTTATCAATCTCCTTTGGTTTTAAGTTAAGTAGCAAGAACGTTCACTCTCTCTTCCCATATAAATCGCTGCCCATGTATTTGTATATATATATATATATAATAACAATATGTATGTCCGTGTTACAATTTTCTGATTTTTTGAACTTCTGAATTACTTTTATTTTATTCTTTTTGTAGGCAAAAGCAAATAAGGGGAGATCTCTGAATAATCCTAGCAAGCTAAATTGTGAAGTTGTGGCCCGAATTTTGATGGGGCTTGATAATTTGTAATCTTCCTTTGATGTAAAATCTCTTCACTTATTTTCATGGTTTTATAATTTCTGTCATGTTCGTGATTGTGTTGTTGGTTTTGCAGTATTTGTAGTAACATAAGTTATCTTCAGTGGAATAAGGAACAGCATCAACAACTAAATCATTAAAATGACGAACATAGGACAGTGTACCTCTTCTCTCAAGCAACAGAACGTGAGTATTCCATTGACTGCAAAAAAGGAAAAGTTAATTTTTTTCATTTTTTTTTTTTTTTTTTTTCGGTGGTTCAGATTTTATTCATAACTATCAATTTTGTTATTCCGCTGGTATCAACTCTTCTTCCCATATGGGAAATTGAAGTTTGAGTCCTGACACTGGGTGTTTGTCTTCACTGCTTACACGAACAACCTGAAACTGTTTTGGTTATTGTTAATGTGGTCGTTATTAAATTTTTGACAAAGTAGTACCTATTAATTTATTTTTACTTAAAAAAAATGTTCTTTTTTTCATGAATAAATACGCATTCTTCTCCAAATGTATGAGAAATTTTGCTTGTTTGTTTTTTGCCAATCGTGATGATTCTATGGGGATCCTTAAATTTTTAGTAAAGTAGTGGTTTCAATAATTTTTGTGTAATGTGCAAAAATACCCCTGAACTATTTCCGAATTTGCAAATAACTCTCTTGAACTATCACATTTTGTTGCAAAATGTTCCAATGCCTAGACTATTATTCATTAAATGACCACAATGCATTTTCTTATTAAATTGCATTTAATCTATTTTTCTTATTGAAATAAATTATGAAAAAAATTCATACTAATTCTATGCATATTCTCCATTAAATTTGCATAAATTTACTTTTAATTTTTTAAATTAACAAATAAATAAAAATCTTAAGTAGAAAATTTTAAAACAATTTAAGTAATTTTTAAATTTTTCATGAATATATTGCATTGCATTTTTTTTTTTTTAAGTAATTAATTGATTTTTCATGAATATATTGTCTGACAAATAATATATTGTATAAAATTAAGGTAAATTGTATAACTAATATTTATAGAAGAGAAAAGATAATAAAAATAAATTAATAAGAAATGATGAATTTGATGAGAAAAGGTAAAATAGTCTTTTGTGATGGATTTGTCCTTAATTGAAGCAAATTAGGGAGATAATTTGCAAAAGGGCAGTAGTTCAGGGCTTTTTTTTATTTTTTATTTTTATTTATTTATTTTTTTTGCACTTTACCCTTGACGATGATTTCTTTTTCTTGTGTTTACAATTATTTGGATGTTCAGAGAAAAGGGCTTGTGAAGAATGGAATTAGTGGATTGCCAGACGACATCATCATTGCCATCCTATCTCTTTTGACACTTAAGGAAGCTGCACGTACTAGTGTTCTCTCACACAGATGGAGATATTTATGGAGATATTTAACTGGTAGTTTCAACTTTGATTTAAAGACATTGCGAACTCCTTCAGCAGATGGTACTTCACTTGAAGAGCCTACTAAGTATGTGTGTTGGGTGAACCATACTCCTCCCTTTGAAGAGCCTACTAAGTATGTAAGTTGGGTGAATAAGATCTTGGAATTGCACCTTTATAGATGAAATGAGGATTTCTTTTTGTTTCTGTAAGAGCTTCCCCAGCGATATCGATGACTGGATTAAGTTTGCAATGGAAAAGGGTGTTCAAAGGTTTGAATTGGATGTGATGGCCGGCGGGTTACCCTTTCCTTGGCTTAAATTTTACAACTTTCCAAGCCTGGAAAGCTTCAAATTCTTATTTAGGACTTCAAACAGTCATCATGTGTCACGGACTATTGGTTTCACAGATGGTTTTTGCTCCCTAACCACCCTTCGTTTGGTTGGTGTTAATATCATGGATGAGGTGCTTGAGCATTTCCTATCCATCTGTGTGTTTCTTGAACAATTATGCATCGTGGGATCAACGTCTCTAGTGAATCTAAAAATTGCTGGCCCATCTCTCAAATTGAAGCACTTAGAGTTATCTCAATGTCACTCTTTGGAAAAACCTAAAATTTCTGCAATTAATCTTGTTTCATTCACCTACTTTGGACGGGATATAAGTGTGCCTTTTAAAAACGTCCCTCTTCTATCTGAGCTATCTATTGGGGGACGTTTCTGTTCATCCTTTGTTTTTGAATCTTACAAGCATTCCAGCTATATTGCTCAAATAGAAAAGCTCAAGTTACAAGTGTTTGTTGAGGTTAGAATACACAATCAATGCGTGATTTTATGCTTTTATTTTCGTTTTTGGTTGTGGTTGTCGTAAACATCATGATCAGTTTGTGGTTGCTTTTGGTTAGGACTTCAATCGGTTTCCCAAGTATTTTCGTGCGCGAGGTAATCTCAAGGAAGTGGAATTGTTTGTCATGGGAAATGAAAATGATAGCCTTCTCAGTTTAACTTCTGTGATTAAGGCGGCTCCTAAATTGTCTAAGTTTACTGTTGAGGTAAGTATCTTTCTTTGTAATTTAAGGTTTGGTTTCTGATGAAATTATTATAGTTGATTTATTTTAAATACTTGTATGATTTTAAATTGACTTAAATGTAGAGAGATAAGAACAAGAGAGGGAGAGGTGAAAGCAGATAGGTACACATATGATAGAATATAAGATCTTTGTTGAAGAGGCTGAGGAGGTGAAAACGGTGTCATTGGCTCTGTGCCTCATCAAATAGTGAATGTATAACGAAGGACTACTGTTAGTAAGTATCAGTGAGTAAGACGATTACACAAACTGAGTTGTCCATGACCAATCACCATTACGAGTAGGCAAATCTTTGTACTTCAGAAAGATGATAATGTCACCTTGCCACTCTCGCCTCTGCAAGTAAATTCCAATTTACAAGCTAAAAGAGGAAACATATCGAACTTGATTTCTTACTGATTTTTTTTTTCTTACCCCAATTAAATTTAAAGAACAAGTTGAAGATGAAGAAGATAACAATTAAACCCTTAAATTTGGGAACTTGGTGGGTTTGTGCTTTATACGATTTGAGTAACCTTAAGTAAAATCTTTCATGGAGGCCTTCTGAATTTACCACAGCTTTGCGTCAAGTGTTTGGGAAAAGTAGACAGATAGAATGGAATGGGATAAGAGGCTGAGAAATATAAGAATTTGAAAGAGAGGCAAATATCTTATATTGTCTTCAATAATGAAAAGGAAATTAGGGGGGAAAAAAGAGAGGGAGAAGAAATGTATATTATTAGGTCACAAACATAAATTGATAAAAAGATTTATTGATCCTAGCAACTCTTATCTTGTTTAACCTTAGCTGCTATGTTTTTTCGTGTGATTAGTCTTACAATATGTTACTAGAATGTAAATAATGTCAATATGTTATTACGAGCCTAAATAAAAAGGAATTTGTACCCAATGCTTAAAAGTATAAAGTGCTTAAATTGATAAATTATAGTGAGCTAACTTACAATTAGAATTTTATCATAAATATGAACATGGGATTCCCGCATTACTTTTACTTCATCATTTATACGCTAATGTAACATTTGTGCATGGTCATTTGTTTGACAAATTGGACCTTGGTGGAAGCAAAATTTCTGTATGCATGTGCTATTTGTACTTAAATAAAATGGAACTCATATAAGGTCATGGATTATGTAAATAAATATTGTTTTATCTCTTGCTTGTAAAGTTGAAATGGTTTACCGTTTTATAATGAAAAAGGCTAATTGCTTAGCCATCAATTAAGGTGATGGAAAGGCATATTGGATGCAAATCTAACCTTTCACATTAATAAATAAAGTGGTTATTCTTAGCCTTAAAACAACGGTTACGTGCTAACAGCTTGGCCTTCCATTCCACAAAGGATAATGGCTTTGAGCTACTGTATTTCCATTCTATTAGTTTTAACGTGTGTTTGTAACGTTTTTACTATTATAAAACCTGTAGAAGAGAGTGAAATTTGCTTTGAAGTTGAAGTTTGGCCACTAATTGCATTGGTAAGGCGGCAAACATTAGCCCCTTGTGGTTTTAACCTTTTTCTTGGATTGGGGGAGGGTGGAATTGAATTTTCCAATCATACTTGGTTCAGGGAGAGATCTCTAGGAGATAGATTAGGTTTTGGTTTGATCCACAGCAGTGTTATTAAAGGCCCAAGGCGTTAGAGGTCTTTTGAAGCCTAGGCGCGAGGCGCACGCCTGAGTGAAGTGAGGTGCACAATTACAAATTTAAACTATCATAATAATATTCATATCTCATAAGTCATATCAATATTCTAAAAATTAATATCAAATATAAAAAAGTAAATCTATCAACTATACAACTATCCAATAACCATAAAACATAGCACAAATTTGTTTTCTTAGAAAGCAATGCAAAATGTGTTTTTTTGAATGGTAAAACAAAGCACAAAAAGAAATAAATCTGTTAACAAAAAAAAATGTTAAACAAGAAAAAAAAAGGAAAAACAGAGCCAAAAAAAAAAAGAAGATAAAGAGATAAGAGAAGTAGACGAAGAGAGAGATGTAAACAAAGATAAGAAGAGAGGAGAGAGAAGTAGAGGAGGAGAGAAAAAAAGAAAGAAAGAAAGAACTGACGTGACTTCCTCGTTCATCTCTTCAACTAGGGCTTCGTTTTCATCTCACAATCTCATTTTATCGCTGTTCGGTTAACATTTTGACTCTTGGGCTTTCTTATTTGTTTATTCTTTTGAACAAATTAAAGATCCTTCTATCATATGCTTGGGCTTTCTTTTTTGTTTATTAAGTTCCAAAAGTATCCTTTTTGGCTTAAGAAAGGCGCACCTCACATACAGGACGAGGCGCAACCGAGGCACGTGCCTAGTAAACATCAATGAGCCTGTGATGACAACAGGCGCTAAACCTGAGCCTCGAGCCTAGGCGCGCCTTTAACAACATTGATCCATGGTGTGGGGATAGGCCAATTACAAGTGTTTTCCAGAGGTTTTTTTAGGATATCTTAGATGGTCAGGTCTTCATAGCTGTTTGTTATCGCCTTGATAGAAGAAGGATGATTTGTGATGTGTCGTCTGTGAGATATCTTCAGGATTGGGAAATGGAAGACATGGTTGAGTTCTTGGCGTCGTCGTACCATCGGAGGGTGGTAGTTAAGGGGGCTGATGTATGGGTTTGGGAGGAATCCAGGGAAGGTTAGTACGAAGTGTCCTCTTTTAACCGGAGGCTTCCAAATGCTCGAGGGTCCACCATTCCTAGGAGGGCAGTTTGGCATACCAAAAGTTGCCTCAAGGTTGCTTTTTTTGGATTGACGGTTGTTTTTGGGAGGATTTTTACAATCAGCAAGAAAGAGGTTTTAAATCTTGGTAAATTGGTGTTGCATATGCAAGAGGGATTAATAGTTTGATTGATATTCTTTTCCTTACATTATGCATTGGCTAGGGATGTGTGGACATGATTGTTTCCCTTTTTAGTTTGTTGGGTCTTGCCAGGTTTCACGTTGAGGATGCTCCAGGCTTTGAGCGGTTGTATAGTCGGGTTGCTAGCCTGGGATGCATGTAGAGTGATTCCACTTCGTATTTGGTGGGGCTTGTGTGTAGAACGAAATAGGGAAGGAATCTTCTATTTGGGTATTAGAACTGTCCATTCTTTGTTCTTTTTTAGTTTGGGTTAATGGGAGGGATTGTATTGGATTTTCTAGCCTTTGTAGATAGAGTGAGTGTATAGAGGATTATTTTGGCATAGAGTTTATTGTTTTGTACATGTTCTCTTGGGCGTGCTCTCCTTTTGAATGCTTTTAATTAAATTTTACTTAACAAATAAAAAATAAAAAAAATTGTTAACCCAAGGACATCAAGATATATTCTCTTTGTGCTATTCCAAAAACTTTATGGACGATTCACTTCGTGGTCATTCCTTGAGGAATTAACTCGATTGTTTAAATTTTGTGATGTTCTGAAGCACGCTCAATCTCCTTGTACTGCTAGAAGTAAATTTGTATGGAGAATTGTTCACTTTAATCCTCCCCTTGGCATGAAGTGAATTTTGTTTTCATAATTGACATTGAATAGACATTGAAGTAGAATGAGTGATTTGAGGGCTTCTAACATGGTAAGGAATTTTAATATTTTTATAAACCACCTCACCTTCTAATCTACACTTGTGTTATGGGAGTGATTATTATTAGAGTATTTTGTAGCTTCTAATGCCAGTTAAAGCAACCGGGGACAGTTTCTGCAGGTATATCAAAAATAACCAAATTGTGGTAATGTTTCTTTGTGGTTTTCTTATATGGATGGTTCCTGATGTTATATCCAGTATGAATGACCATTATGTAACTGAGTTGCTTTGTTTGTGACATTGCCTTTGATGATAAGAGTTTGTTGCATAACCTGGTGGCATTACTTGAATCTAGGGCTGCAAATGAACTGAGCCGAGCCGAGCTTTGTCATGCTCAGGCTCGGCTCACTACAATCTGAGAGGTGCTCGAGCTCAGGCTCAGGCTCAGGCTCAGGCTCACTACAATCTGAGAGGTGCTCGAGCTTGGCTTAGGCTCAGGCTCAGGCTCGGCTCACTACAATCTGAGAGGTGCTCGAGCTTGGCTTAGGCTCAGGCTCGGGCAAGCTTGACCTAGCCAAGCTCAAGCTCGGCTCGTCAGAATATGAGTGAGCTCGGGCTCAGTTCAGTTCGGGCTTGTTTGTGCATAGATATACACATATATAATACACAATAGATGAGTGTATATACATAACATAATCAAATTGTGTGTTGAGTTATAGATGTATAGTTAGATGTATATGCATACGGCATACCTTGAGGTTGAGATTGTCTGATATCATCAACAGTTGTGCATCGTTCATTTTTTGCAGTTAATTTCATGATTCGCCCTTTGTTGTCCCACAAGAATACAAAATACTGAAGAAGAATTAAAGATCGGGAGGCAAAATGGGGATGCGCTGCGCATCGTTGCAGATAATGATACCGGGTTTGTTATGTGTCAATATTAATGGGTACGTCAGTTGGGCCTTTAAAATGAAATATGGGCCATTTTGTCTTTGGGTTTTTCATTTAGATAATAGGATATTCGGAATGTATTATACCTCTGGGCTTATGTTGTTTAATGGATCAAATTTATTGGGTTGGATCAAAACCTTATAAATTATTGATAAACGAGCCTGTTCATGAGCCTAACAAGCCGAGTCTAACATTGTTCAAGCTCGGCTCGTTTATTAAACGAGCTCAGAATTTGTGCTCAAGCTCGGCTCGTTAGCTAAACGAATGAGCCCGAGCCGAGCCCTCGGTTCATTTGCAGCCCTATATTTTATGTATATATATTTGTTCCCCATACACAAGGCTCCTACATCTAGCATGGCCTGAAAGAAGTAGATGGTAAGCAGCCTTACTCCTATTTCTAGGTAGGCTGATTTCGGGACTCAAGCCTGCGTCATTGTGGGTAACAGATGAGCACTTGAATCACAGTAGGTCTGTTTGGTTTGAAAGAAGTAGCAAAGGGAAAAAAAAAATGGAAAAGATTTAATTTTTTTGAGTTTGGATAGGATAAAAGGAAAATTTATAAGAAATTAGGATTCCTACAAGTGGTAGATTTTTTCCAAAACATTTCCAGAAAATTTTAGTTTCTCGCAAAATTTGTGTTCTATATTTTAGTTTCCTATTATGCCATTACCACTTGTTTCTCCATCTCTCTGCCTTAACAATGCTGAACACGCCGCAAAATATTTGTTCAATTGTGCTAATAAAGTAGTTTATGTGGCTCACAAGTTGGGTGCCTTGGCTATGAATGCTAGATTAGAGGTGTTTATGAGAACGAGTTTCCTGGCAAGATTAGAAGTCTAGCACAGGAAAATGTATTGATGACAAGATTAGAAGTGTAGAACAGGGAGATGTATTAAGACACTGGTGTGTATTTTGGTGTTTTCTGATCAATGGTCTAAAGGCAAACATTTGACATGAGGTGAAACTCATACGCGGTGTCGTAATTCTACCCACCACTCTTAAATTTGTGATCCATGCCCGTGCTCTAAAAAACTTTATTTACAACAAATTTGTATTTATTTTTATTTTTTAATATATATTGCAGATGTATATAGTGTTATTTTACCTCCAAAAAAAAAACAAAATACGCTGGTTCATTCAATGAAACAGTTGAAAATTATATGTTATTGTAAAAATTGAAAAGACGCACTTTAATTTTTGGAACTTACATTTTTGGAACTTGTAAGTTGTAATGTTAGTTGTATTAAGAATAAAGTTAAACCATTAATGAGTTCCGCATGAGAAAAATATTAGGAAACCTTTATTGTTGTTTGGATATGGGGAAGATTGATGTTACACAAATTCATTTATTTTTCTAGTATTTGAAATCACAAGGATAGGTTTGGTAAGTATGATCATTTTCTTTTCACTTTCATGTTATTCAAACTGTCAAAACAATACTTTCCCACAATTTTCTTGAAAATTTTTCATCTTAATGAAATGCATGTTGGAAACAAGTTATGGTTAGTGTGTTCTTATTTATTTTATCCAATCTTGTGTAAACAAGTTTTTATCTGACTTATCTTCCTCCATGGCAGTTGATGCTGAGTGCGAATGATAAACGGGTACCAAAAATTACAAATCTTTATTGGTTTAAAAGTTTTTTATACTGTTAACCTTGTCTGCTAATAATGTCATCTCCTGTGGTGTTGGCAGGTAAGACGGGCTGATCAAATTGCAGCTATAAATGCTGAAAAAGAGGCGACTAAATGTCATTATCAATGCCTTAAGGTGGTGGAATTGGTTGATTTTGGTGGGCGTAGCTGCAGCGAAGTTGAGCTTGTTCTCCACATACTAGTGGTTGCGGCATCACTAAAGAAAATAATTATTCATCCTTTTCCTTTTTTAGAATATAAAGAAGTTCCACCAATAAGAGCCAAGTTGATAGAAGATGTCAGAGAGCGTGCCTGGCAGATAAAAACAATATTACCCAAAACCATTGAATTAGTGGTTCCTTTAGTTAAATAAGTACTCCCAGTGTAACAATTGTAGTGATTATTTACCTATTCTGTTCATGTTAACTTTATATATATGTGCTAATGACAAGTTTTATAATTGGGTTGGTAAAGTTTACCATAAATTGGGAATGATGTTCAACGAACCAAATCGTATTGGTGGTATTATTTATTTTATCTAATCTTTTGTCTAAAGTTCTTTAGTTAAATAAATTAATAATTCCATTGTAACAAATAGTGATTATTTATCTATTCTGTTCGTGTTAACTTTATATATGTGCTAACTGCTAAGTGAAAGCTAATTTGTATAATTGGGTTTGGAAAGTTTTTCATAAATAGGGAATGAAGTTCAACCAGCCAAATGTTATTGGTGGTAGCTTTTAATATAAAATGTTATTTGTTACTAGTATTATTTATTTCTAATCTTATACGTAAACAGATTTTTATTTGGCCCTGATAATAGATGGGTAGTGAAAATTACAACCTTATTTATATTGTTGTAAGGGTCTGTTACATTCTTAAGCTTGTCGTGTTAGTCTCTCCCCTATAATTTGTTGGTATTAGTCTCTCCCCTATAATTTGTTGGTTACAAATGATACTTTTCATCTATATTATTTATAAATTTTACTAGTTAGTAAAATCGCGTATGATATACATAAAATACATGTACGTATAATGTACGTACAATTTTCATCCATTTAGGTTTTAATATCACCATTCTGTATGAAATGATTACACTTTTACGTTTCCGAATTTTTTTTTTTTTATTTTTTTCTCTCTCTCTCTTTGTGTACCGAATTTTACTAACTATGCTCTACCTCACTTTGAAAGACTTGAAAAATCACTCCACCTGGTTGGGTTTGTTGAGAGTAAGCATAGTAAAATTGTTGGGTGAAACTTCTAAAATTTACTAATTACAACACTCTACATCAACCCACCCAGGTGGTGAAATTGGTTTGAGTAGCGAAATTGATCTTGTTTTGCATTACTTGATATTGTTGTACTATTCTTTTATTAAAAAATTTAAAGAATAATGAAATTGATTGGATTTGTTGGAAGTAGTGGCAGCAAAATTGATCTTATTTTGTTGTAGCATCATCCATTACCATGTCTTCTAGGGGGTAGAGTAAAAATTTTTGGTGATTATATTTACTTATTAATTATAGCAGGATTACAATTGAAAGTAAAGTTAAGCTTCTATGGCTTTGAATTTTTATGGAAATTATTTTAATATGCCCGATATTTGTATGTAATGATCATCTCTACATTCTACGATTAGCTCATTTAATCGTGTTAATATGTTTGATTAGAAAGTTTACCAATTGATTTGTAGAAAAGAACGTGAAGGAAGGGCTCTAAAATAATTGAACATGACTTTTGAATGAGATATATATATATATAGGACAAGTGCAGTGTAGCACTTTTATTATCTATTTGAAAAAGTGTGTAAAAAACACCTTTAATATTTTCACATTGTGCAAAAATACCCCTCAATCAGAAATCTAACATAAATTAGTGTTATAATATTCGTTTTGCCTTTTTACTTTTCTGAAAATGCCCAATTGGATATATATACTACTAATATCACAGTACAAGGGTATTATATGCACATTACCTTCTTCTTTTTTTTTGAAACTTTTTTCTCTATATGTATCTCTAATTTTTTTTTTTTTTTTTTTTTTAAAAAAAAACTTTGAGAATTTATAGAACAAGGATTTGAATTTTTTGAAACTTTAATTTACAGTTTTCTACTAAATTATTTTATTCTATTTTATTTTTCGTACCTACACTGTTAAAAAAAAAAAAAAAAAGGAAGAAGAAAAAAGAGAAAAAAACCCTCAATATTAGTGTGCATTGGTTTTCAGAATTTGGAGCAGATTTGTACCTTATTTTCCCTTTTTTATTTTCTATTTTTATCTTTACTTTTCTTTTATGCTTATATTTTTATTTTCTATTTTTATCTTTACTAGTCTATTGCCGGTATCTCCAATAGTGTCATTTTCGGTCATTTTATAAAATTATTTATGTTTATACATTTTTTAAAATGGTTCAATAAGGGTAATTTAGTCAACTTAAGGTTTAAATTTATCAGAGGGACCTATTTATATAAAATTGAAACTTCAGAAGTCTTTTATGCATGTAAGGGGCGTCCTCCAATAGTGTCATTTTCTGTTATTTTACAAAATTATTTATTTTTATATATTTTATAAAATAGTTCAATAAGGATAATTTAGTTAACTTAGTATTTAAATTTTTCTGATGAACCTATTTGTACAAAATTGAAACTTTAAATGTGTTTTTTTGCATGTAAGGAATGTGATAATGCACTGTAAATTTGTTTTTTGTGCTTTACCCATATATATATATATATATATATATATATATATATAAACAATAATATACATTATATATATATATATATATATGATATATATTAACACTACCATTATATTAGAGTAGAAACAAAACCATTATATAATGGTGTTGTTATATATATATAATGGTGTTGTTTTATATATATATTGACAAAGAATAAAAGATACCATTCATAACCTCCACCATTATATAACATTACACTCTCTATCTACACAAGCCTCTTTAGAAAACAATAATATACATTATATATATATATATATATAAAACATCGTGCCCTCGTACGCCGCATCTGGCATCTCTGCACTGCTATCCTATTATGTGATCCCTATTTAGGATAAAAGAGTAATTTACTACCACATTATCATTAGTATTATAATATGGAGGGTATATTAGTATATTCACATCAATTTCTAACACAACTAGCCGGCGGTCCCATTAGAGTAAGATTAGTGTAATTTTTGAAACTTAAAGAGTACCATCTATAATTACGCCTAACCTCAAGGGCGATAAGTAAAATTATTTATTACCGTCTGTAATAAATAAATGGAATACATTTAATGAAATCAACGCCATGTAGTCTCGTAATAATAAATTTGACAAAAATATTGATGTGATCTACGTCACTATTATTGTAGGCACAAAAATTGGGTTTAGCGTATTTTTTTTTAGTGAGTATCACACCCCTTAACACTCTTAATGTTTTAATTTGATACAAATAGGTCTTTCTTGATACATAAAAATTATAATTTGATTAAATTGCCCTTATATACATATTTTACATAATATTTAAAATGTATGATTTTTTGAAATGGCAAAAATGGTTATTTAGTACATAAGGGGGTGTGAATGTGATACGCACTGTAAACATATTATAGGAGTATTTTAGCACTTAATAAACTATTGTTGTGAATCTCTTTTCATTTTAGATTTAATTGAGAAAGTAGTTTTATCGCGATTTGAATAGTACGATGACGGTAAGTGATTGAACACCCATTTGTACATTTGTTACTACGTAAAGAATTATTTATATATAATGAATAAATATCTTTAATTTAAATTTTTAATATTAAAGTTTAAATGGGAATAAGTTTTTCTTTTTTATAATTATAAAAGGACTTAAAGTTTTCATTCTATATGATATACTGTACATTAATTTGACAATTGTGACAACATATGTGACAACATATTTTTTTATTTTTTATTTTTTTAAGAGAGATAATATACGTTAGCATAAATATAGAGAGCTAAAAAAAACATTTAAGATACTATTAGCATAAATATATAGAGCTAAAAAAAACATTCCAAAAGGTGAGAAAAAATTCTTAAATTTGGATTAAATCTAGTTAATTACACATAACAACTCTATATTATGAGATTATTATAATACACGTTTCTTGAACATTTCTAAAAATTTGAAAGGCAAAACGTATATTATAACATAAAGATAAAGGAGGTTTTATGTGATTCTTAGAACCGGATCCACTTCGGTGTTCTTTACCATCGGTAAACTTAAATCAGCCTTAGACCTTTGAAAGCTAGAACCTAAGGTGTAGAGTGTGGTTCACAATTCAACGAATCTTTAAGAATAAAAGATACCATTCATAGCCTCCACCATTATATAACACTACACTCTATCTACACAAGCCTCTTTAGAAAACAATAATATACATTATATATATATATATATATATATATATATATATATATGGTGTATATAAAACAACACCATTATATATACCATATACTCTATCTACACAAGCCTCTTTAGAAAACAATAATATACATTATACATATATATATATATATGGTATATATATATACCATATACTCTATCTACACAAGCCTCTTTAGAAAACAATAATATACATTATATATATATATATATATGGTATATATAAAACAACACCATTATATATACCATATATGGTATATATAATGGTGTTGTTTTATATATACCATATATATATATATATATAATGTATATTATTGTTTTCTAAAGAGGCTTGTGTAGATAGAGAGTGTAGTGTTATATAATGGTGGAGGTTATGAATGGTATCTTTTATTCTTTGTCAATGATTCGTTGAATTGGGAACCACACTCTACACCTTAGGTTCTAGCCTTCAAAGGTCTAAGGCTGAATTAAGTTTACCGATGGTAAAGAACATATATATAAAACAACACCATTATATAATGGTTTTGTTTCTACTCTAATATAATGGTAGTGTTAATATATACCATATATATATATATATATATATAATGTATATTATTGTTTTCTAAAGAGGCTTGTGTAGATAGAGAGTGTAGTGTTATATAATGGTGGAGGTTATGAATGGTATCTTTTATTCTTTGTCAATGATTCGTTGAATTGGGAACCACACTCTACACCTTAGGTTCTAGCCTTCAAAGGTCTAAGGCTGAATTAAGTTTACCGATGGTAAAGAACACCGAAGTGGATCCGGTTCTAAGAATCACATAAAAGCTCCTTTATCTTAGAGTAAGTTATAACATACGTTTTTCCTTTTTATTCTTTAGAAAATGTTCAAGAAGTGTGTATGATAATAATCTCATAGAGCTGTTATGTGTTATATTCAATCCACATTTAAGAATTTTCTCTCACCTTTTTGAGTATTATTTTTTAGCTCTATACATTTATTATGCTATTAGTATATTAAACGTTTTTTTAGGCTCCATATATTTATGCTAACATATATTATCCCTCTTAAAAAAATAAAAAATAAAAAAATTTATTGTCACAATTGTCAAATTAATGTACAGTATATCATATGGAATGAAAACT